CCAAAAGCATGGAACAGCATTCCACTGGGATGATCACCTGAAGAATTACTTGAAGAATCAAAGCTGGCATGTGAGCGAGATAGAAGAGGGCCTACGTCAATCTACAACAAATCAAAGCCAACCTGCCTTGCCACAGACTGGTGCAAAGTCGGAACTAGGATTCTGGCTTTTCAAGAAGCACTGCACCTGCGCTAAGACAGAAATTGTTTTGTTGTCCTACTGGATGGAGAATAACACTGGTAGGCAGTCGCTTCACCCACCCGCCGAAATCACGCTATGCTCCAGTAGAAGGCGAAGCCCTTGCCCTTGCCGACGCATTGGACAAGGCTCGCGTACTTTGTTGCTGGGATGCGAGGATCTAATAATCGCGGTGGACCACAAGCCATTTCTCAAGTTATTTGGCGACATAATCGATAATTATTCGCGGAAATCGAGTTGTAACCCAGCTACTGAAATTCGACTGTGAATTCAAGTTAAACCTCCCTCATCTAGTCTGGGAAAGGCAGATCAGGGAATGTCAGAAATGTCCTAAATGGGGATACTGGAATAGTCAGGAACTCAACTCAGCACATCATCTCTTCTTCGAACATTTCTGTATGAAGCAATGGCCATTGTCAATGGTAGGCCATTGACTGTCGAAGATTTGGAATGTCCAGACGGCCCAGTCCCCTTGATCTCCTAACCATGCCCTGACTATGAAGTCAGGCCCTGTAATGCCCCGACCTTGGCAATTCGAGAGAGAGGACCTCTATCTTCGAAAGAGATGGCGACGCGTACAATACCTGACCAATCTGTCTGGGTTCGATGGAAAAAGAAATACCTACATTACTCTCCAAGCCAGAAAATCTGGTCAGAGCCGCAACGGAACATCGAACGTGAACGACATAGTCATACTACAAGACGAGGGTTCTTTGCAGAACAGACTGGAGCATTGCCAACGTTGTTGAGACATTCCCTCAGCGACGATGGCTTAGTTCGCAAAGTAAAGCTTTTCATGGCGGACTCCAGACCTAGACAAGCACGGAAGGCCTCTTCACACAAAAACCGTACTCGAAAGACCTGTTCACAAACTGATCGTCTTGGTCTCTAACTCAGACTAGTTGTCAACTGTGATCCCGATCGTTTTGATAATTTACACCCACATTTGGTGACATCTTGAACGTTGTTTTAATGTACTCTATTAGTATCTACCGTTGTATTGAAAATAAGCAAATTGAGGTTATACTTGAAATGACTCGATTTGGAAAAATCATAGGTGATTCTGGTGGGAGTGGTGGCTGCCGCGGTTTTTAAATCACATGATGACAATATTGTAATAAAGATTAAGCATCCCGTACATCTCATTTATTGCACTGGGTGTGCCTGGCTCTCAGAAAGAGCCCCCGGCTCGCGCGTATGTTTTGGGAGATTTCGGTACGATGTACTGATCCATGTACTGCAGCACATCCATACGTATGATCAATGCTCGCAATCAATATATAGTTCTTCATTTACAGGCATGTAAGCGTTTATCTATTGATTTAAAGTTTTAAATGTCTAAATGACTATTACAAATATTGTGATTGTAACATTATTTGAACCCTTCCTCCTGCCAAACTTATCTCGTAACCATTGAACTGAACTCAATATTACGTAGTTGTATTAATGCGCGCAACCATAGCAACACGGTAGGCGCTTTCGCCATTTTCGTATCTCTATCAGAGGGAAAACATCGTTCGAAATGCCCTCTTATTTCCGTATATTCGCTGCCCTAAGGCAATAATGTCCAGCCAACGAGGTAAGTCATACCGGAAAAAGGGTTCAAGAATCATTTAATCCTAAATTAACGATGATTCAATTCAACATTTAAGAAATATTGTTGGTTTTCCTAATTACCTGGTTTAGTAAACGTCAGCGAGAATGTTATAGTGTAAAACTCACATTAGCAATCGTACGCTCATCACCGATGAATCGCATGTTTAATCTGATTAATTGTGATTTAATTCGTTTATTGACAAAGAGGTTTTGAATCATTGGGAAAACGTTTCATTGTATTTTCATTCATCGTAATACTCGACATTTATTGTATTCTGTGCATTGTTTACCCACAGTTTTACTTAAATACTTCGTTTTGATTTACGAGCAACATCCGTTCAAGCGTTGGTAACTTTACCTCAGTGGCAGCTATACAACCCTTACTGGGGAAAACAAAAATCTAACACCAGAGATGAATGCCACCATCAAACAGGACTTCTCCAGATTCCTGTCTGAGTCCCTCCCAGTAATCTAGCCACAGACACTCCGTTGTTAACCAAAAAACCAATTACTATGAGGAAACACGGGTAGCTAACGATACAAAGCGTGTATACATTGTGACCATGACCTCGTGTAGCAGGAGGATAAATGAATAACAACAACAACAACAATGATAATTTAATTGATATAATCAGGAGTCTATCAATATTATAATTGATAGACTCCTGATATAATGCATATACGCCGCCAGGGAACAAATCATCACTTACACTGCGCTACCCCCGCCAAATAATAGGATGGCCGATGAGATCCTTTCTTGGCGAATCTAACCGCTGGTAAATGACGTCATGCCATAATATTGGCCACTAATATAAATCGGCTAGAGAGTAGGGTCGTATGGAATGAAATAGACAAGGTAAAAATAAAATAAAAATATGTGTGTCGCAATTCGGATTTTTCCGTTTGAACATTTTTAAAACGCGCGAACACTTGTAAATCTGAACGTTGACAACTGTTTACATGTGATTTCAATAAATCCTACTCCGGCCCTCTCTAATCACATACATGTTTTAGCCTTTCTGGGTATTGATACTACTTGTTTTGACATGCAAGGAGGTTTAGGGAGGTAAATACTAATGCTCCAAACCGCACGCATATATTTTTTTCTTTAGCTGAACATAAGTGTGTTGATAGAATGGCAATGTTTTTCACAGATAAAAGTTTATTAATCAAATTTACTTATTATAACATTTTACAGCAATTAAGTTCTCCTCAAGCAGGTAAAAAAACTATATAAATGTATGACTGGCACAAGTTACATCTATAACTATCTACAACTAACATCAACGTACAGATTATTCACGAGATCACAGCTAGGTTATATTTTAAGGATATGTTTTGACATCTCAGTAATTAAGGTGTCTGCATATATAATTATAATAGTCAGAAACATCCAACAAGTTAAATTGAAACTTCTTAGCGATGAGCGCACTTGTTTGAAATAATAACGCTTTTGCTTCTGACAACTGCAAAAACAATACAACTTATACGCATAGACATATTTTATACATATACATATTTTATACGCGCACACAGATTTTAAGGCTCTGGTTAGTACAAAAATCAAGACGAGATATACTCTTACAGCTAAAATAAGGACATTAATAATCTACACACAAAATGATGTACGTATATTTACTTAACAATTTACATATTATAACATTTTACAGCAAGTCCTGCTCAATCAGTTATAAAAATTATATGAATGTTGGACTGGTACAAGTTACATCTAAAATCTGGTTCAAGTTCATCTACATTGTACATCTCTCATCACACTTCATATTCCTGTTCCACAAAATCTTCCTGCTCGTCATCCTTATCTACTTCGTCTTTATCTAGGTGGAAAATCTCTGTGAGTATCTCAGACACCTCAGAACAAGCACTGGTCTTAACAAGAGGCACTGACAAGCTATCCATGAGGGGAGTGAGAAAGGTTTTGTTGAAATTAGGCAGTTCATTTATCTGTTGGCCAAATTTTGCTATTGTAAATTCAATTCTGAGAGCCTCGTTGTACACAAATGCTCTATTTTCCTTGTTCTGTTCTGCCATTTTAATTAGATGTGAGTGCTTACTTTCCAGCCAATCAGCAACCAACATGAACTCAGTCTCATTCAACGCTATTTCCTCTGCTGCCCCGTCGCTCACACAAACTATATCTATTGCGTGTTTCTTGATGCTGTAGGGCACAATACCATTCGTTGGCCTGCCAAGTTTATGCCAAAATGAAAGACATAGTATTTCATCAACTGTGAGTTGTGAAATAGAGCTGGCCTCGTTGTACATCGCAATTAAAGATTTGATTTCGAAAGGACTTTCACCAACTGCCTATTCAATTTATTGAATATTGCTTGTCCATCTGAAGTCAAGTTAAAAAAATACTGTTGGAAATTGCATATGTGCAATATTGTTTTTATTTATATTATTTCCACTTTTCTGAATTTGTATAGTAACATGAAAGTGTTAGTCTGTATCTGTATCTATTTACAAAACTGACAATATATAATCTTCACCAATCATACTGTAAACGTGTGGTTCGGCTAACGAAGAAGTGCGTACAAGTGTTGACACATATAAACACAAGAAAAGCCGAGAGGAGACAGTGCCAATGAGGAGAAAGAAATAGATTCATTAAAGAAAGGTGCTAGTGATAGTACAGTAATAACTATAAATCAGAAAAAATAATAACTCTAACAACAAGTGCAAGGAATTCCAACGTTAAGATAGTGCAATGAGTGTCAATGTTAAGACAGTGAAAATAATTTCCAAATTAAGATAGTATAAAGAAGTTTAAGTAGAGGTAGCAAAACCCTAAGCCGATAGGTACAAGAAGAACCAAAGTGCTAACGCTGAACAAGTCTGCTTTTCCAAGAAACACACAATGACATCGACACCCAACAACAACAACAACAACAACAACAACAACAACAACAACAACAACAACAACAACAACAGCAACAACAACACGTGTTGTGGTTCCACTGCACGAGAGACGTCTGTTTCCCACAGCTTGTGTAAATCTGTTTATGTTGCTAGAACTCTGTTATTACACGAATAAACTGCTGGTTGCATAATTTACGTTCTCTTCCTTTTACAAAATCATGCTAGACGTAATTTTAAAACAGCATACCAGCGTACTTCTTGTCCAGTGTAAGTAGGTACGTCTTCTCCATGACAAGAACATGTAACTTGTGAAGAAGGTCTTTCTTCTGATTTGCCCGTCTTCTCTCCCTTGCCCCCTTGAGCGACTCAGATTCAACTGACCATCGCTGGCTAATCTGCAGCTTCTTTTCCAGCCTCTTGGTGTTCTTTTCCAGCCTATCGATCAGAGATATTATGTATTGGTTCGCAATAATCTCTATATATATTTACTTATTTGTTTATTTATGTTTATTTAATACAGAAGTATAAAAACTTGTCAGATTATCAGCCTTTTTTGGCTCTCTTGTATTAAAGCCAATTGTACATAATTTTATTCTTTACATTTACAATTACCTTATTCTTTTATTTTATTCAAGCATGATAAGAATTATGGTTACCTAGCTTGTTTAATCTGCAAGGAGAGGTGCTCATTCTCGCTCTCAGCATTGTCGAGATCACTCTGCGACTGTGCTCGTTGTAAATCCAAACTGAAAAGATACATAAATATATAGTTGCACTGTTAAGTCATGATGTTGACTCTTATGCCACTTCCACACATTTGTCTATTGCAGTGTAGTTCAATATCTACAGGACCGCCATAAGAAAATACGTATAACTATGGATGGAACATTCAAATTTTCAGCCGCATAATTATGTATATTGCAGAATATTTTTGGCTGAACATTTATTAGTATATTTGTTAACATCCAGTTTGAAAAAGACTAATTTTTGCATTAAAGATAATGCAGTACTGGCCATTTTATTGCAGTCTTGATGTCCAGTCCTGATTAGTCAGTTGTTCTGTCACTGAATGTTCTGCTTAGATAGTTGTACATAGGGAACTGATATCTAGCATGTTTGAATAATTAAAACTTACCTGGCCAAATGAAGCTTATACACAGAATCAGCATAAATCTCTTCTAGCTCCTCTTATTACCTGATAATCATTGTATGCAGTACATACTGTAAGTTTTGTTACTTTATATATATAGTCTATAACAGTACTTTGTTATGACAAGACTGGAACACGGTTTATTAACTTTACACACCAGCGAGCCGAGAGAGCGAGCGAACCCTATCGGAATGCATACACAACTCTGGTCACATAACCACGTATACACAAAGCACGCGGCAATATACATCTTCCTTTTGTTAGAACAATTAGTATTCTTGTACAAATTATATAGAATACAACAAAAAAGTCTCTACTATAGGATAGCTATGTCGGCTATAATAAGAAATAATCACTCTCACACGACTGGCCACATTCTCTTAGTAAAAATCTAACAACAGTTTGCTTCTGTGTCTTAACACCCAGATTAAACAGAAAAATCCTCTCACAAATGTTAACACAACTTTTCTGGATCATGCAAAATAACCATTACCACAAATGTCAATTATCTTTAGCACGATTACTTCGGTTTCTCACGATTGCTTCTAAATTATCTAACTGCCACGCCAATCTTTACTGCCTTGTATCGTTACTGAAGATGATCATCCTCCCCACATCTCGTTTTCTCGGGAATGCCTCCGGATTTGGCCTACATGTTTGGGACTGGCCTTCTGCGCATTGTCTCACCGGGTTGATGACACTCAGTCTTCCGTCGAGCATTGGAGATTGTACCTGGTTGGTGCACTCACGGTGTCTTGAAGTGGAAAAGCATGTTAGCATTTGGTCGTTGCTGAAGACAGCTAGCCCCTTAAGCAGGATGGCGCCGCGTTTCTTCTGTTATTCTATCCTCTTCTGTAGATTTGTACAATTGTATTGATCTATGGCTCGTTCCGCCAATTTGACAAACGTTACCTAGTCTTGTTATACCTTTCGCTGTTGCACCATGCGAACGTTGTCCCTGTCTGCAAAGGTTATGGAGTGGGTTTAGATGACTTGCAATATTCTTCGTTCTGCTGCTGCTGTTACTTTTCTCTGCAGTTGGTGTGGATCCGCTTAAGCGGTCCAATATCTCTTGGTTTAACAAAGCTTCAGCCGTCACGGAATTGTTGTGGATTGTTTCGGACGCGACAAACTTCCCGTTGCGCTGGCGCGATCCTTCCAATGTGTTGTCTTCTTGGCGTATTCGCCAATTTCAGGAATGTTCAGGTTCGGATCCCCCCCACCCCCCCCGCCCCCCTCCCCCGCTCCGGGGGCCGTGCCGTCTCTGAACGACTATTCTCTACCGGTTAGCGCCTGCCTTAGCAGAATGGACAGGTTTCTCCGCCAGTCCGTTGCCTACTGTGGAAATTGTGGACTGCCCTCATTGTTATTTTTTTGATGGCAGATCCCATTGCCTACTGCCAAAATTCCTTAAAAATTCTCTCGACATGTAGAAAAAACTGTCTGATCCATATCGGAGATACAGCAATGTACTGGAATACCCAAACCTGGAGATGAATGACAATTTGAGTTATCTGCCACTACCTTTTTAGTTCGATGTTTCCTATAACTGTGTTCAGTTCAAAACCATCCAGAGGTACGAGTTCTACGGTGTGACAAAGACTATATCAGGCCACTGGCACTCAAATACATCCGTCTCGACTATGCCCCATGCTGCTTGCGCAACTGATATGTAGTAGTGGTTCTTCTCAATTGGCTGCGATTTTGCTTGCTATGGCATATGTTGCAGTGGCCTATTATGTCATCTATGTCTCGGACACAAGGCTTGCCCAGTACTGATGTCTCTTTGCACGACGCTCTGGTGGCTTCTGCCCCAAAACGAGCCACTACTGTAGCTTAAGTTAGCTATTCCACGCTGCAGGTGCTTTAGGTACCACTATTTTCTGACTTTTTAGTATCACACCCTCGTCTTCAATCAGTTTCATCACGAAGAATGCGATAGAATGTGTTGAAGACTCAGCTGACTTGTTCGAATCAACCCATTGACAAATGCGCTCTGTAAACTTTTTTTGAGTGATGACGGTTCGTTGGAAAGTTAAGCCTGCCTTTAGCTCCTCGCTTCTGATCGGGCAACCACTGACAGTATTTTCATAGTGCCTGTGTGCTCTCTAGATCTGGTGTCACTGTCCTTGATGGCAAGTTATGGCCGTCGACAATGTATCTGCCTAAGTAACGAGATCAACTAACCCCATTTCTTGTACACAGGTTAAAAACTGCTTAGCTTTGCAGCCTCAAACAGCAAAGCGTTGCAATCTTGCTGGAGACTGCAGTATAGTGGTTTCTTTCAGATTCATACTAATGGAATGATGGTCTGTTTCAATCGTCAACCTTTTTCTTGCCCAAACACAAAATCACGAAATCTATGTGCACGCGAAGACCACGGCGAGGTAGTTCTTTTTTCATTTGCGCGTATCTTGTTCAGCTTGGTGTTCGGCACGCGATCGCGTACGCGACTGGTTATTCTATCTTGTAGGCATGCTGCCTCCAAGACCACTTCTGTGATGCGTCACATGTGTAGTGTTACGCCATCTCATTGACGTCATAATTACGCTCAATTTGTCCACTTGTGCAATACTCTGCTTCTGTCTCGTTGAACGCCTGCATGCAAGGATATATCCACTATTATTTTCATGCTCTTTTCTCAGCAAGTTCATTCCGCGGCCCGGCCGTTTTCACTGAGGTTAAGACATAAAACTTGGCGAGATATCTTCACCATTCCAAGAAAACGAAGCAGGTCAGTCGCATCTTGTGTGTGTGTCGGCATTTCACTGATTGCTCGAGGACCTTTTCTAGGTCCGGTTTCAAGTCCGTCCTTGCGACAGTAATGGTCCAATGGTATGGGTATTTCTTGCAGCTTAGTACTGACACTTGCCACCACTCACTTGTAAGTTATTTTCTCGGAGACGCTCTAATACTTTCTTGACGGTTGTCACGTGCTCCAATTCCGTGGGGCCCGCCTCCATTAATCACCCAAGAATGATCATTCACTATTCACCAAAACATGGTATCCAGCTAGCAATTTTTCATGCACATGGTTAAACTTCATGATTACTGAACTGTTTCCCATCTCGCATGACGACTAAGTATCTCCCNATCTTGTAGGCATGCTGCTCCAAGACCACTCTGTGATGCGTCACATGTGAGTGTTACGCATCTCTTGACGTCAAAATACGCTAAATTTGTCACTTGTGCAATACTCTGCTTTATCTCGTTGAACGCCTGCTGCTAGGATATATCCCATTTCATTTCATTGTCTTTTCTCAGCAGTTCATTCAGCGGCGCGGCCTTTTCACTGAGGTTAGACATAAACTTGGCGAGATATTTCACCATTCCAAGAAAACGAAGCAGGTCAGTCGCATCTTGTGGTGTCGGCATTTCACTGATTGCTCGGACCTTTTCTAGGTCCGGTTTCAGTCCGTCCTTGGACAGTACATGTCCAATGTATGGTATTTCTTGCAGCTTGTACTGACACTTGCGCACACTCAACTTTAAGTTGATTTCTCGGAGACGCTCTAATACTTTCTTGAGGTTGTCATCGTGCTCCAATTCCGTGGCTTTATACACCAGAATGTCATTCACTATCACCAAACATGGGTATCCAGCTAGCAAATTTTTCAATGCACACTGGTAGACTTCTGATACTGAACTGATTCCCATCGGCATGCGACAGTATCTGTAACGACCATACGGTGTTTCAAAGCATGTCAGATATGACGACTTCTCCTCCAATGGAATATGGTAGAATGCTTGTTTGGCATCCACTACTGTAAAGTATTTTGCGTTGGGCATGTTTGACACTGCCTCCTCAATAGTACGCAAAGAATATCGAGGTCTCTTGATTGCTTTATTTAGATCACCGGGATCTAAGCAAATGCGCAGTTCATTAGAGTTTGTAGTTGTTTGTAGTTTTGTAGTCACCACTAAAGCAGATACCCAATCTGTAGGTTCCGTAACTGGTGCTATAATACCGTTAGCAACCATGTTGTCAAGCTCCTCTTTCAGCTTATCTTTCCCAGCAACTGGCATTTTTCTTACCGCCCGGATTATCGGTGTGACTTCTGGATCAACCGTTATTTTGTACCGTGTTGGCAGTTTCCATAGAGTGTTATTAAACAGGTACTTGTACTCATCGAATATGCCCGCTGGTAATGTATGTTCATCACTTGTAACAAATATCTGTTGCTCTGACACGACTTCATATACGTCTGCACTCAATGTGATTAATCCAAGACGAAGGCTGTCCTTGAGTCCAAGCAGTGTCCTTGCATTGTGGTCTACCATATGAAACTCAAGCGAATGACTCTGTTTGTCGTATAAACACGACAGGTTTACAACTCCCATCGATGTGGCAGTGGGACCTCCAAATCTTATCAGCTTCACTTTCTTAGCTGTGTTTAGCAGCTGTTGTACATGTAACTGTAGTAGTGTATTGTAGCTCATGATGTTACTCTTGGCTCCTGTGTCGCCTTTCAAAGTTGTCCCGGTTTCGTTAAGTTACAACTCA